TTTGCAGGTTGGTTTGCACGTTTGAGAAGGGACTTGGTAAAATTATTTTTCTAAGTCACTCAAATTTACTTAAAAAAAGGCTAATCATCAGGGTGGAGGGAGCATGGGCCCGGAGAGGCATTTGCCCATCCTCAAGTTTCGAAAATTTACGTTTTAGCATAGGTTAATAAATGTTCTTCACTTTGCCCCTTCAATTTGAATATATACTCTTATTTTTTTCTTTATTTTTAAATAGTACCTATAATTTGCACTATTCAAATATTTATTTTATGACAATATGACCTTTATTAAGAGGTTGTTTGCAATGACTTTTTTTAGTTGACTTTTTGACTTTTTTTGACTATTTTACCCCTGAGATTTTTTTGATTGTTTGATTTTCTTGTTTGGATATTTGGCTTTGGAATGAGATTTTTTTTTTGTCATTTTATGATTTTTTAGCCAAAGATGATAACCAAACGAGCACTAAGGGTGTGTTTGTTTTGAAGGATTAGGTGGTGGGATTAGACTATTAGTCCCACCGAACTAATAGTCCATTGTTTGTTTCATTTTTTTTGCTCCGGACTATTAGTCCCACAAATATGGGACTATCCTATCCCATGGGAGAGGGTGGGATAGAAACCATGGGATTAATATCCCATGGGATTATTTTGTGAAATGTCCATTTTACCCTCCATGTTATTACTTAGCAAACAATTAGAAAATGATAAAATAGTCTTTTGAACATTTATAAATTATTTTTTTAGTGTTGTTAATTTAAAATTATATATTAAATAAAAAATTTTAATTATAAATTATAAATTATAAATTAAATTTAATTAAAAATAATAAATTATAAATTATGGCCTTATAAATTAAAATTTTTTATTGTTGTTAAAAAATTAAATTTACATATTAAATTAAATTATTTTTTTAGTGTTAATTTAAAATTATATATTAAATAAAAAATATAAATTATAAATTAAATTTATTTAAAAATAATAAATTATAAATTATGGCCTTATAAATTAAATTTTTTTAGTGTTGTTAAAAAATTAAATTTACATATTAAATAAAACAACATAGAAGATGGACTTGGAAAGAAATGTGTACCAACATGCATTGAGGTGAATACACATAATTCTCCCTACACTTACATTAAAAGAGTTTGTATTGGAAGGTATAAGTATCAATTGTGTATTTAAAACTTTCCAACATAGAAGATGGACTTGGAAAGAAATGTGTACCAACATGCATTGAGGTGAATACACATAATTCTCCCTACACTTACATTAAAAGAGTTTGTATTGGAAGGTATAAGTATCAATTGTGTATTTAAAACTTTCCAACATAGAAGATGGACTTGGAAAGAAATGTGTACCAACATGCATTGAGGTGAATACACATAATTCTCCCTACACTTACATTAAAAGAGTTTGTATTGGAAGGTATAAGTATCAATTGTGTATTTAAAACTTTCCAACATAGAAGATGGACTTGGAAAGAAATGTGTACCAACATGCATTGAGGTGAATACACATAATTCTCCCTACACTTACATTAAAAGAGTTTGTATTGGAAGGTATAAGTATCAATTGTGTATTTAAAACTTTCCAACATAGAAGATGGACTTGGAAAGAAATGTGTACCAACATGCATTGAGGTGAATACACATAATTCTCCCTACACTTACATTAAAAGAGTTTGTATTGGAAGGTATAAGTATCAATTGTGTATTTAAAACTTTCCAACATAGAAGATGGACTTGGAAAGAAATGTGTACCAACATGCATTGAGGTGAATACACATAATTCTCCCTACACTTACATTAAAAGAGTTTGTATTGGAAGGTATAAGTATCAATTGTGTATTTAAAACTTTCCAACATAGAAGATGGACTTGGAAAGAAATGTGTACCAACATGCATTGAGGTGAATACACATAATTCTCCCTACACTTACATTAAAAGAGTTTGTATTGGAAGGTATAAGTATCAATTGTGTATTTAAAACTTTCCAACATAGAAGATGGACTTGGAAAGAAATGTGTACCAACATGCATTGAGGTGAATACACATAATTCTCCCTACACTTACATTAAAAGAGTTTGTATTGGAAGGTATAAGTATCAATTGTGTATTTAAAACTTTCCAACATAGAAGATGGACTTGGAAAGAAATGTGTACCAACATGCATTGAGGTGAATACACATAATTCTCCCTACACTTACATTAAAAGAGTTTGTATTGGAAGGTATAAGTATCAATTGTGTATTTAAAACTTTCCAACATAGAAGATGGACTTGGAAAGAAATGTGTACCAACATGCATTGAGGTGAATACACATAATTCTCCCTACACTTACATTAAAAGAGTTTGTATTGGAAGGTATAAGTATCAATTGTGTATTTAAAACTTTCCAACATAGAAGATGGACTTGGAAAGAAATGTGTACCAACATGCATTGAGGTGAATACACATAATTCTCCCTACACTTACATTAAAAGAGTTTGTATTGGAAGGTATAAGTATCAATTGTGTATTTAAAACTTTCCAACATAGAAGATGGACTTGGAAAGAAATGTGTACCAACATGCATTGAGGTGAATACACATAATTCTCCCTACACTTACATTAAAAGAGTTTGTATTGGAAGGTATAAGTATCAATTGTGTATTTAAAACTTTCCAACATAGAAGATGGACTTGGAAAGAAATGTGTACCAACATGCATTGAGGTGAATACACATAATTCTCCCTACACTTACATTAAAAGAGTTTGTATTGGAAGGTATAAGTATCAATTGTGTATTTAAAACTTTCCAACATAGAAGATGGACTTGGAAAGAAATGTGTACCAACATGCATTGAGGTGAATACACATAATTCTCCCTACACTTACATTAAAAGAGTTTGTATTGGAAGGTATAAGTATCAATTGTGTATTTAAAACTTTCCAACATAGAAGATGGACTTGGAAAGAAATGTGTACCAACATGCATTGAGGTGAATACACATAATTCTCCCTACACTTACATTAAAAGAGTTTGTATTGGAAGGTATAAGTATCAATTGTGTATTTAAAACTTTCCAACATAGAAGATGGACTTGGAAAGAAATGTGTACCAACATGCATTGAGGTGAATACACATAATTCTCCCTACACTTACATTAAAAGAGTTTGTATTGGAAGGTGAAAGTATAAATTGTGTATTTAAAACTTTCCAACATAGAAGATGGACTTGGAAAGAAATGTGTACCAACATGCATTGAGGTGAATACACATAATTCTCCCTACACTTACATTACAAGAGTTTCTATTGGAAGGCATAAGTCTCGATTGTGTATTTAAAACTTTCCAACATAGAAGATGGACTGAATTGAAAAATTACAAGTTCAAACATGGGTTTGCTTCTAAATCAACAAGAAAGTAAAGTTATTCATATATCTTTTATATGAAAAGTCTTGGGTTTAAAAATTTTCGAGGTGAACCGGATAACTTAAGTTTCATTCATCATTTGCTTTTGAAACTATCCCACGATTAAACTACCCATGTACCTAATTAGTCGGGGTGAAGCCTTCAAAAAAAAAAAAAAAAAACCTTCAAATTTAATTTCTTGCAAGGGCTTGATCGAAGTAGGTTATGTCTTAGTTATTTTAAAAAAAAAAAAAAAAAATTCAATGGAAACATAAAATTCCAATTTTCATTCATGTTTTAATTATGATTACCAAATTACCTATTGATCATTGTTTATCTGGTCAATTGATTCTTTCACATTATGCCAATCAAATTGGTACCATGTAGTAAATTTAATAATTACAAATTAAAGAGAGTCACTTTTTGATGTGTCCAAACTTTACAAGTAGAGCACACCTTTTCTCCCAAAACATTTAAAAATAAAATTGATATCCTACAAAATACGAAATGTCCTACTTAAGAATTATAGTATATACTAGTAAAAATTGGGGAGAAAATAAACAATTTGGAGTGAACCATATTCTGGATTTGTCCCACTAACACAAAATTGAAGTGAATTAAGATTTATTTTATTTTAATTTTTTTGGTTCTAACTGTATGCATATGAATTAGCATGGATACACTCACTTTGACTAGTGTTATTGAGGATCTAGGGAATTTTGAATATAATAGTATTGTTGTCAACTCTTACTAGGTGCTATCAATTCTTTAGAGTCATGACTGCGGGTTCTACCCGAGATTTTCCGATCCACGTAAAGGGGCACTTTGTGTGGGTTTTGGGATTAGTTGAGGTGTGCGTAAACTTGCATGGACACCCAGTCATTAGAAAAAAAAATAATTAAGATAAATTAACTATAACTATGCAATTCATCCGGACCTACGATCAAACTGTTTTTTATTTTTTAATTTTTTTTTCTATAGAAAATACAACAGCATGTACATGGATTTTGTTTCATATATATATATATATACAGCATTTTTTTGTCATATCTTTTATTCTTTTTGTGAGACTATAATTAAAAGGGTTATGAAAAGTGATTTTCAATTACATCTTTACAAATTCAGATCACTTATCCCATCTAATCCTCCATTCTATTTATCACTTGAATCTTATTGGTTCACAAAACTACTTTTTATTTTATTATTTTAACATGGACAATCTCATGAACTAATAAAATTCAAGGAAAATATCATATCGGTTTCTTTTTTATAGTGTAATTAACAAGTTAATGAATATATATTTGGAATAATGGTTAAAAATAGCCAGTTGAGCTAGGATAATCTTCAAGATCAAGATTATAGATTGATATAGCCCTTATCATGTAGCTCACATGTAATGCTGATAGAGGATACAAACATTTGGTAAGTCCGCCAAACCTAATTGCCACCATTATAGGCTTTTTTTTCTTCTTCATAATGTCGGTTTGTTTCAACTATGTGATGTTAAATATAGGATTATATATGTAAAAGGATCTTTGTAATCCAAAACCTAGGACTAGGATAGATAAGAAAACCAAACTTAGTTTCTCTTTTTTTAGTCACAGTTCCTCTCTCCTTCCTCTCCAACCCCCCTATATAAGAATACCCTCATCATCTTTCAATCCTCACAACATTTAGTTATCTCTACATTCTTTCTCCTAAACTAGTCAACTTTGTTTTATTTGGGGTTAAGATTTTTGCTTAGGATTAGTTTACTGTTTGTCAACTTAGTTGGGATGCGCTGTGTACCATGGAAATTTTCTCCATAGTTGTTATTAACTCATAGTAATCTTTTACTTGCAGTTAATAAAATTTCTCCTTTTTTGTTGACTGAAAAAATATAAAAAAACTTGCTATTCATTAATGTTATTTTAACCCAAGTGGGTCCTTAATGCATAGTTGCAAAATGATTTAGAGAAGTGGGTTTTTTTTTTACTAGTCCTATTTGTTTTCTTTTTTGCTTTTAGTTGTTTCTTTTTAGGGTAAGGATTTCTCTTATTTTATTTTGCATAGTTGCGAAGGAAGATCTCAAGATTGGCCACCAATCAATTTTTGGGGATGCAGTATCGTCACGATCCCCAAACTTTTGATGGGGTATCATTTTGGTGTAGTCATGGAAGGTCCCTTGCTCTACCCAAAAAACTCCTTTGATTATTTGGGAATCCTGATGATGCTGCTTCAGCGAATAGTTGATTTCCCTTTTAGCTCGATTGAAGAAGGTTCATGTCTATGCATACATTAAACTACACAAACGTCGACGTTGAAAGGTAATATATTTTTTAATTTTCGTCTTTTAGAAATTTTTTTTTACAAGTTTTGAAGATTGATTCAGTTCTTGTTGCATACATAAGCTCATATTCAAATGCCAAAAATTCTAAATTTTAATATTATATTTGGATTTTAAATTTGTGGAGGAATTTGTGAATAGAAGGGAAAATAGAAGGAAAAATAAAATAAAGAGCTATTGGGGACACCAAAGAGCTCATGCTAAATCTGAATATGATACTAAATTTAAGCTAAATTTTGTTTATTTTTCTCATATCTTTTCCTGTCCTCTCATAATCTCTTCTCAATTTCTAGATCCAGACAGTATGGAGGTCTCTTCTTGAATTTTTCATGCTTCATTTTGCTATAACCATTTTTCAGTTAATTGTTAACTTTTACTTCTACTACTTTCACTGCTTTTAATTGAAGAGCCACTAGTTTCATATCAAGAAACCTCCTTTTGACAGTTGAAATGGTTGAAAAACCTTGTGAATACTTGTAGTCATTGAAAGGGTTAGTGCAAAGGCAGTGCTTTAATTTACAGAAACATTTTAATTTATAGAGTGCCTGACCTTATTATAGTTTTCTAATGAAAAAAGTTGAGGAAGATATATAAAGATTCTAGTTAATTATAAGCATGGGATATGATTTTATTTTTTGCTTTCATTATCTATTTTGAAAACATAGTACGACTTATGCATGCGATTTCTCTTTTTAGCTAGATGGGCCATAATCAGTGTATTTGACTTAATAGTTGTGTAACACTCTTTGTGGTGTGAGGTCTTAAGTTCAACTCTTATATAGAGAAGTTTAATACTATTTGTAGTGGCTTGTTTCTCCCCCCATTATGGGGGCTTATGTACTCAGTGGTGTTTGTATTGGGCTTGAGTTGTTTATTGGTTGTTAAGCTTTGTTAACTTTCTAACTATTGTAAATTAGTGATCTGTTGATAATATAAATATTTCTCATATTTATAATCACTCTTCTATCTATTGACCAAAACAAAACAAAAAAAAAGCTAGATGAGCCATTTTATTATTCATTAGAAATTAACTACTATATAACTTTACAAGTTTGAAATGGAAATCTTTATTTTAATGCATGAGGTTGTCATACATCATTTAAATTCAAAATTCATCATTAGTAAAATTTCATGTTGTCATGAGAATACATTTCTTAGCTACTTTAAGAGAAATTATATTTTGCTCCAGGAATAAATTTATGTGGTGCTTCAATAGGAACTTGGTTGGTTAAAATAATAGACCCTACAATTTTTGTGTCTCTTTTGAGAAGACAACATAACAAATATCTTATCCTGAATGGTGTGGAGCAATGCTCACTACAAGAAAATACATTTTTGCCGACTATTTTTGGCTACCAAAACCAATTTAGTCGCCAAAAGTCACGGAATTGGCTACCAAAAATAATATTAGTTGGCAAAAGTCAACTTTTTAGCTACTAATTTTTTTTAGTAGGAGAATGTTGATTATTAGCGACTAAAAAAAATTTAGTAGCTAAAAATATTACAATTGGCGACTAAAAGAAAATTTAGTAGCCGTAGAGGTACCTTTAGCTACTAAATCGTTTGGTAGCTGAATGAAAATAAAAAATTTAATTTTTAATCTTTGCCGACCAAAATTTTGGTCGCCAAATGTTCAGTTTCGGCGTTGAAAATTTGACTAAACAAAATAGTTATTTTTATTTTTGTTTTTATTTTTATTTTTAGGTTGTACACCCACCATCCAAAATTATTAATATCTTATTTTATTTTTTATTATCTCAAAATATTATTTTTAAAAAAATTAATTATTAAAATAATATGAATTTCTTATTTTGTCCTTTTTTTAAATCCATTAATAATACAAAAAGTACAATTATGACAATTGATATTTCTAAAAAAATATACTATCAAAAGGTAATTTTGAAAAATTAATATTTTTAAAATGTAATAATTGTATTATAAAAAGAAATTAAATTCTGAAAATAGATTATTATTTTTAGATGGAAGAAGTAGTCGGCTTTCATTTGATGGTTGAACACATCTTTTAATAATTGGGCCCTCACGCGAAAGGTATGCTAAAATGGGCAACTTGTTATTGGCTGTTTGTCGATAGTTTTACATTGCAAAAATTTAAAGGCATAGTTACAGGTTAGTCTGATGAATTTAATTTTTAATAATAAATTTATTATTTTTAAAAAGTACAATTAAACTATTTATACTTTTTACATCATCATATTTCAATAACACTAATAAATTAAGAATAAATCAAAATTCACAAATAAAAGACAAAATATCCCAATTATTTATCATTTTAATAAATTTTTCAATATTATTACCAGTACTAATGAAATAATCATTTTACAGACACAAAACATATATTTAAAAAGTTTCAAAAAAAATTTCATTATCAAAACGAAGGCTAAGTGTGTAAAAAAAATTCACAATTGACTTATGAGTAAATAAATCTGATTTGTAAGACTTATTTTTAAATTTATACTTTCTAAATATTTCTAAATTTTGTAATTTTTTTTTTCACAAACTGAGTCATAAAACTCCAATAAAGTAAAAAGTATAAACAATAAATAAAATTAAAAAATATTAATTTAACAAGCCTGATCTATTTTTCACATCTCTAAAAAAATTAGCAGCAAATATTTTCACAAAATTTTATCTTAATTTGAAATTCCCTCTCAAATTGGGGATTCCCCCCAAAATTTTGCCCTAACCCTTCTCCGTTTCTCATCTCACTCTCACACACAACTCCTTCTCATTCCTCCTCCCTCACGGACGATTTTGTGTAAATCTAAAGTCGCCACCGCCTGAAATCCAAAGTAGCTACCGCCGACTATTACATTCTCACCAGGTAAGTTGGTTTCACTATTACAAAAATAGTTAAAGATCACACTTCGACAAAAAAAACTATCTCACTTTTATTAGAAGTGTGATAAAAAAAATCCGATTGATGTTTTAATCACACTAAATTAGATTGAGTATGATAATATTTATTTTTTATGTCACTTTTTAATTAAGTGTGATTATATATATACTACTACAATAATATTTATTTTTAATCACACTTTTTAAATAAGTGTGATTATATATATATACTTTTAATCACACGCCCTAAATATGTGATTGTATAAAACATTTTAATTTGATTTTAAATAAGTGTGATTACGTATATTACTACCATACCCCTCTCTATATGTATGTATGTCTTTATCTTTTTGAGTTATTTTAGGGTTAGATTCACACTCACATAGACACATCGCCTCTCTCTGCTCTGCTCACACGACTGCTGCTCTCTCATAGCCGACGTCGCTCCTTCCTCACTGACGTCTCCTTTCTCCCTCACCGGCGTCTTCCTTCTCCCTCACCGGCTCTCCCTCTCTCAAACCGTTGTACGAAGACGAACCAAAGTTCATTATGATTTTCGCCCCCCAATTGACTCTTTCTCTGGTATGATTTGCCTCTCTCCTCTATCAGCTCTTCGATTTGCCTCTCCTTCTCACCATTTTCAGCTCACCGATTTATGCTATTTTCTAAATCTTTCATCTCTATTTGGTAAAACCCTAGCTCTTGATTTATTTTTTATTTTTAAAATGGAATGGATTTTATATGGTTTGATCGATTTTGATTCTTATCTGAATGTTTGAATTCTGCTTTGCTTCAAGGTTAGGTTATGAGCTTAATCACAATCTTATAATTATATATATTTTTGGAACAAATTATTTCTCGGTTCATTTTTGTAGTTATATACATATTCTTTTGCCTCTATTTGTGTCATTTATGTGCATATGTAGAGGTGTAGAGATATATGTGGTAGCTGTGTGAGTAACTACTTATAAGTTTTTGTTTTAACTTTGGACATAGTTGGTGATTAGAAAGGATGTAGTTTTGTTGTTCAATGAATGGCAATTCTGTGAAGTGTATGTATTATATTTGGTGGGAGAACAGCTTTGGTTATTTATTAGAGTGCACCAGGGCACCCGAACACTGCTATGTAATTGTTAAATGATCTAATTATTTGTTCAACTAAGTCACCTGTGGGCAGTCCCATAATCATTTTACTTTTTCTCTTACAAATATCATATCTAACTACAAAAAAATCTAATCATCTTCCCAAGCACAAAAATTTTAACCTACTAAAAAATAGCTAAAAACTAAATGGGATACTAAAATAGCCAATTTCCCAAACACCCACATTATTTGTCAATCCATTCCAGTTATGTCTATTCCTATTGTTTGTCATTAGATTGTCTTTAGAACACTTATTGAGGGGTGATTGTGCAGGATGAATGGGAGAGCAAAATTGAGGGAGCAGGTGGACATGTTCATAATAAGATCAAGAAAGGTATATGGTCTATGTACTGAGTTCTGAATTCTTCTCGTTTATTTGAGATGTGTTTAGGCACTCTTACTTTAAAAATTACATTACAGACACACACTGCTTAGTTGTGAGTGGAGTGCTGGATAATAAAGAGGCTGACATGAGGAAGGAAGGTAAAGCTGTACCTAATTGCTGGCCTTTAAGTGTAGTTATTTATTAGTCATTTTCTTGACTTGTAGTGGTTTCATTGGAACAGGAGGATGAAAATACCTATCATTAGAGAGGACTATCTGGTTGATTGTGTCAAAAGACCAAAAACTTCCTTTTGATCTATATACAATTGAAGCCATCAGAGAAGAGTCTAGCATGGTCACTTAACGTGAAAGGGCGAAATGCTGTACATGAATCATCTGGCTTGCAAGATTCTGGCCACTTCCTTGAGGATGGAAAAAGCATTTACAATACAACTTTGAACATGTCTGACCTTTCAACTACGTAATTTCTTTTATACTTCTTTTGAAGCACATTTTTACCTTAATTATATAAATTGTTGTTGCTTTTTGTGGTTTAAAATCCTTTGTGCTGTGGTCGCCTTACAATTCTCTATTCTCAAAGATGAACTTGAATTACAAAGTCTATGCTATTTACCTGGTATTACCTGTGAGCAAGTTGTTTCAAATTTTTTACTTTTAATTATTATATAGTATCTCTCTCACTCTCTCTCACTCTCTCTCTTTCTTTTCTCCCTCTGTTTGTTTGTTTGTTTGTGTGGTGGTTGGGGAGGGGGGGAATTTCCATAGTTATCCTTTTATTTTCAATGTGACACGGCAATTGAATTGCTAATGCAGCTCAGTGATTTTGAAGTATCTTAAATTTGAAACTCATCTTAATTAAATTAAAAAAAGATTGAGTTTCATGTTTAAGAGATGCATACTCTTTCCAGTGGAAACCTAAATGCTTTGGATGTATTGTGATGGTGCCTGCAAATACACTGGTTTATACTCTTATGGAATTCAGGATTCTCTACGATGACATACTGCATAGAAATGCGACATATGAATCACTTGGTGGGGGGTTACTTTCTAAATTCTGTTTCTACCTCACTTGAATTTGCTTAACTGTAATTTGTTGTGGAATGGACTTATGAATTGATATAATATTCCCTTTTTAGAGCCCTCATTTCCATGTGCTTCTTTTTTTGTATTAATAAATCTAAACTTTTGTTTGTTTTTCTCTTTGAAGTTACGATATCCTTTAAATCATTCAAGAGGATAAAGGTTCAGGTTGTTTTATTTTTTTGCAAATGGTGTCATGTTGGAAACAACAAAATTAGAGGAAGCAAACTAGAAGATATGTCAAAATCAGATGCAATTTGAGAATTCAAACGTCTATTCCTTGAAAAAATTGGGAACTGATGGGAAGCATGGGAAGGGAAGAAACTTGCTAGATTCTTTCCTTTGGACATTGTACTGCTGATTTTATTTTCCCAATATTTTTTTTTTTCTTTTTCCAAATGTTTAAGCTCCCTTATTGGGTCCATATCTAGTATTCTTTTCCTGATGTCAGAATATTTGTTTTTGTAGGATTATGGGGGGTCAATAAAGAGGTGGTCCCTAAGAAGAAAAATATTAACGATGCAGGAAGCCAACTTGCACCCCCATTAGGAGAATTGATGAAGATGCTCTTTAATGCATACAGGTTATAACATATTTACTATTTATTCAATTTACTCTGCATTTTAATTTTTAGAGAATGTCTTTGCAAGAGCTTTTTAACTATTGCAGAGCTGCAATGATGGAATTTGAGATCAATATGTCGGAAATGCCACTTGAAAAACTGAGTAAAAGTAATATCCAAAAAGATACTTTTCTCTAGACTCTATTTCTCTTTTAGTAAATCTAAACAATGCCTTTAGTGGAGATGCAGAAGTGATATCATTGTCGTGTTGTGATACTTGTTTGTTTATTTAGCTGATGAAGTTATAATTTCTAATGTGCTTCCTTAATATCTTCTCTAGGTCTTCCTTAATATCATACTCCTCGCTACTAGGTTGATTTCCATAACTGATTGATTCCTTAATATCTAATGTGTTGTCATACTTTTTTTTTTTTCATTTTTTAATATATGTAATCACAGTTAAAAACTTTTTATTAATTCCTTTGTATATGCTTTTGAACATATAATTTTTATTTATGAAATATATGATGTTATTTCATTCAATATATGGTTGTGACTCGAAATATATATAGTATATAGTGTGTATTATATTATTCAAATGTGCGTACAAAACTAATATTGATTATTCTTTAAATATGTTGAATTCTTTTTTTTTTTATCACAGGTTTTATTAGTTATTAATCACACTTAAAAGATGAGATGAAATCATTTTTAATGACACTTAAAAAGTGTGATTAAAAATGACCCATTTTAATCACACTTCCAAAGATCACACTTTAATAAAATTTAAAATGTGATTAAAAAACATACATCACACAAAAAAAGTGTGATATTTATCTATATTTGTAGTAGTGTTTCTCTCTCTCTCCAATTTCTAGACGCTATCTATCTCCCTTATCTTCTATATGTTTTTGAATGGGTTTCTAAAATGGGTATATTAATAGTAGGAGTTTGATTTGTAGTTTTTTTTGGATAATTCCCAGATTTTGCTACCACAACCGCCTCTCCATTGCCGAAAACTGCCGTACGTGCCTTGTCGAGGTCGAGAAGTCGCCAAAGCCCGTCGCTTCTTGCACCATGCCCACTCTTCCAGGTTTTCATTTATTTTTTACGGATTAGTAATGCCATTTGCTTAATTCATCTGGGTTTTAGTATTTTGTTGGGTTCATTATCTATGGTCTATTATTATTTAGAAAATTTAGATCATAAACTCTGAATTTGGATCATTGGTTTAGGTGATTGTTTGTTTGATATGTGGATTGTTAAATTTTTTGCCCACCAAGTGTTTGATTCTATGTTCAAGTGACAAATTTATCAGAAACAATTGGAACATGGAGTGTTTGAATCTGTTTCAATCTGCTTTCATAATTGAACATGGTCACCAATATATGTACACCATTGTAACTCTGTTACGGAGTATTGTGATTTTATTGAGAGATAGACATTAATGAAGATCATTAGAGAGATAGACATTAATAGCAAATCAAACCACTGCATAATTAGCCAAGCCCCCTGGAACATGGTCATCAAAAATTGGGATATAACATCACCATTGTGTTTGTTTGTATGCAGTTATTGATGAGATATGTTGTGGTTAAATTCTCATTCGTTGATGAATCCCCATATATTTTATTCATATTTAGTTGGAACTAGGTGGATTGAAGGCAATTTTATGCTCTAACTCACTCAAATTCTTGTACTTATTTGAATGCGTTGGTTAGTTTAATCATATGAAAAGAAGTCAATTTTGGGCATTCTGCATATTGAAGACCCATTTCTACTACTTGGTCTAAACTTGAGCACATCTAACTCAACAAGCTGCTGTGAGAGCTGGACTGAGTCCATTTCAGACAATTTTAATAATTTAAATTATTTATTATGCAAGGCTTATTGACTACTATTAAAAAAAATTACGTTAATCGAATATTTGTAGTAATATAGTCAAATGATATATATTTTTTAGTTATGCGTTAATGATTTTGAGTGCTAAGATATGCTTGAGAAAATACCAAATTTTGTTGCATCTTAGATTAATGATTGATAGTTGTGGATTTACTTATAGATCACTTAATGATTTTTAGCCTCCTACTATATTTGAAGGTGCGATTATTACAATGTTTTATAAGACGTGGGCAATGGGTGTATTGGAAAATGTTCTTGCATCTTTCCATTCCATTTCTCGATTTTCTGATTGCATTACTACATATTACAATTTTGCAGTTGGTGTCTTCAGAAAGAAAGGTACCAAATTATATAAAGCAAGCTTAAAGGATGAAAAGCGTTTAGATCAATGGCTTCATTGTTAAATTAAGCAAGTGTTTTAGTAAATAAATTTAATTTTCCCATCATGTTTACACCTTCAAAATATTCTGTAAATGACATTTGATGTAGAATTTTTTGTACAGAGGACATCTTTTTTGTATGATTTTGTGTTTGTATGGGATTATTATTTGGGGTTGGATAATTCAGATTTGTATAGAATTTGATGTTAAAAGATCAAATTTTTGTATTGTTAAAACGAAATAGAAATAGATATATGTATTATTTTGTTTAAATACAGGGTCCAGGTTGCACGAAATAAATACAGGTTGAGAAGAAATTAATTATAATAAAAAAAAAACACAAAATAAAGTTTTTTTCATTAAATGTTTAGTAGCGAAAAAAGAAGAAGAAGTGAATTTGTTAGTGACTAACCAATTAGTAGCCAAAAAGGAAATCAATATTTTTAGTGACTAAATATTTGGTAGCCATAAAGAACCCAAAGATTTTTGGTGACTAAAAATTTAGTAGCTAAAAATATAATGAAAACTTTCGGCTACCAAATGGTTAGTAGGCAAAAGTTTAATAAAATGAAAAATAATTTTTTTGGCGACTAAATTCTTTAGTCCCTAAATGTAGTAATGTTGTGACTAAAACTTATCTACGACAAAAAATTTTAGTCGCAGAAAATTTAATTAATTTTATTTGAACACTTTTGGCGACTAAATATTTAGTCGCCAAAATATCCCCTTTCCCGACTACTCAAAGTTTCGTAGCCATTTTGCTTACTTTTGGCTACTAATATTTTAGTCGCAAAACAAAACCTTTGCCGACTAATGAAAATTTAGTAGCCAAAACGTTCACTTTCAGCGATCAAAAATAGTTTAGTCGCCAATACTATCGCCGACAGGGCATAGGCGACAAGTTTGGCGACAAAATATTTTAGTTGCTAAATGGTTTCGGCGACTAAATATTGGACTTTTGGCGACCAATATTTTGGTAACCAAAAGTGACATTTCTTGTAGTGGCTCCAAAATTACTAAATAACTTTCATTTTAAAGTTAAAATATTAATTTGTTAGATGTGACTATTTCGTAATCCCTCTTAGGGCAAGTGTTTATCTCTAGTATTGTTGTTATAAACATTGTAAACTAGTTTTAGAAACAAGATTACAGAAGAGAGATCACTTCGAAGATAAAATATTTCCGAACTATCCATTCTCTCTTAAACAATGCTTTCTCTAATAACTTCAAGGGGCCCACAACCCATACATATACAATTAAAAAGGACAGTACTTCTTGAGTAATTATTTTATATTTCAAGATATTCCCATTAGCCATGTGTCCAATTAATAGTAAGGGTTAAATGAATATATGACCTTGTATTTGTTGCTCTATAACATCTCATGTGTGAGGAATTATATTCAGGTCTAGCTCTGTAGTGGGGATGTAACTAATTTGCTTTTTTGCTGCTGCCCTATGTTTGTTGGACTGGTCTGGTGCTGTACCTGTGTGTCTTGTGGTTGTATTCTCCTCAACCTTGAGGTGTGCTAGCAAATGGCTGGGTATTTCTTGCGGTGTCAACCTAGTTGAGATCGTTTAGTTGTACTTTGATACTTTTTGCATTTTTCCATCCTTTCTGTGATGTAATTCATATGTATGTATGGTATTATCATCAATAAAAGACTGTTTTACTGTTCAAAAAAAAAATGAATATATTACCTTAATAACAAGCAGATGGTGAACAAATTATAACATTTTATTGATCGGACACATGAATATGTGGTCTTCTTGACCTACTAAATAATTTTTGGTGCTTCTCATAGTCTAGTTCGGACCTGTAGACTTATCAAGAGCCATTTTTATGATTAATTAAATTTTTAAGTCCTTATACTTGGATTATTCATAAAAAAAATTAATTGATTCAACAATTGTAACTATATAATTTTATCATATTTCTCTTAAAAAAATAAAAAGAAAATTTCATTTAAACACCCAAATTATTACTTGAAATCCATTTACAAAAAGGGATGGTGAAATTTTTTTATTATTTCTTTTCGGCTCATTTTTCTTTGTGGCGGTTGGGGCTTTACAAGAATCAACTGACCCAAGTGTTATTTTCCTGTCTCTCCCTCATGGGCCAATTAGGGTTCAATCCCATTGATATGTTAAGATAGTTGGGTTGAAAGCCCAGCCCATAATCTAGGCTTTTGCATATTGTTAAGCCCATGACTAAAGTATGAGGATAAAAAAATAAATAACAACCAACAAACTATTTACTAGATAGATGGATGACAAGGAAAAACTTACGGAGCCCAAAAAACAAAAAATAAAAATAAATAATAAATTCAAAAAGTGATTTGGGTGATTGGGATATTCTAAAAAAGTACACTTTTTAACTTATTGGCTTATATGAGTTGGGTTTGATGTGATGTGTTAAAGAGGTGATGTGATTTAAATAAGATGATGTGACTTAAATAGGATAGTGACTTTTTGACTTTTTGTATTATTTAGGTTATGCCAAACTTGGCCTTAGTATGGCATTGGTTACACTTGGAATATATATATATATGTATAAATTTTTATTCAGGCAAAATGTTCGAAATATTCCTAACACACCACCCATCTCAAACTCACCCAAGCACTGATGCCTTATTGGAGCCCAAAAGGCCAACAGTGAATTTAATTCACATATTTTATTTTTTGATAATTTTTCAAATTATATATATATATATATATATATATCCAGATATTGGTATGACAAAAAGTTTTCCAAAAATTTAGTAGGGCATGTGTTTATTGAATCTTTGACCTGTATTTTTATGGTATGAAATTAATATGATGTAAATAATTAATGAATTGAATGAATAGTGTGTTGTGTGCTACATAAAGCTCCAAGGTAGATATTGTATTTGTAATTTGCAGGGGGTCACATGTTTGCATGTGGTCCTTCAAATGCTTATATTCTCAATTCACATGATCACTCCCCAAAATCCACCTACTTCTAATAGGCCTGAAAAAGTGATGGTGCATTGTACCCTTACGGTACACCCCCAAATCCATGTGACATCACTGACATACACTAACAATTAAACACACAAGTTGACCCCTCTACACCACCTCTTTGACAAATCAAAACCCCTATATCTCATTTGGACCTTGCCTAGTTTGCAAAAACCATTCACAATTATGGGCCCAAGAGCAATTCAATGGTGAATAGGTACAAAATAACTAAATTTATAATTTAGCAAGGAATATTGTAAAATAATTATAGAATAACAATATTATTTCAATGGTTAAATTGTTATTTTTATTTTAACAATATCGATTTTTAGAGTAAATCTCCAAAGTAGAGTGATACATAGCTTCAATTGAAATGGAATTGCGATAATACTCCGGTACTCTATGGTTAGCTCCGACGGCGAGAGAGAGAGAGATCACGTGAACACCATCGGAGTTCACTTGATTCACCGCTGCGAGTGTATCTGATTTGTAACAACCTGCGTCCTCTGCCTTTCTATATCTCTTGGTGACTTCAATTCTGTAGATTCATCCATTGATTTCCTGATCGAAGCTTCACATCCTCTGCAGATTCTGACCAGATTCTACTCTCTCTCTCTCTGACCTCACATTTTTTGATTTGCATTTTCTTGGAGCTTTATTATGGAATTTGTTGATTGGTGGAATTTATTTCGGTAAACTACCAATATGTCATAATGGTTCCCATCAAATCTTATTGAAAATAATTCATTGTCCTAATATGTCCTATTGAAAAATAATTTTTTGCAACGATTTTTTGCATATGTCACTAAAAATTGACAATTAGTGACTTTTTTATCACAGTTTTTATAATTTGTTGCTAAAATTTACAATTAGTGACTTTTTTATGACGAATTTTTTAAACTATCACTAAAATTTATAATTACTGACATTTTTTGTGACAATTTTCAAACTGTTGTTGAAAATTAATAATTAGTGACTCTTTTTAATAGTGTTTAATAAAAAATTTCATTAATTCTCACAGGATCTATTGGATAATAAGTTTACCTATTATGACCTATATGTAAGTCCCCAAATTTATCATTGGAAAATTTTCAATTGATTGTTGATTTCTAAAATTTTCTAAAATTTTGGTTAAGGGTGGTAATAGGAAGAAACATGATTTTTGAACAATATTGTCGTGCTAGCAAATTTAGCTATAGCTACAATTTGTGTCAAATTTGGCACAACATATAACAAAGTTATAATTTAGCAGACTTTTTACCTAGTCATTGGAGATAAAAAAAAATTGAATTTTATACTATTTTATAGCAATAGCAGCTTTGGTACCTCACCATTGGGATACATGTATTTGATATTTGAAGATTTGAGGTTCAAGCACCCAAAAAAAAGAAAAAAAAAACTTTAATAATAATAATTAAGATTAATATATATAAATTGTATAAGTTGAGCTATATTTCTATAAAAATGCTCATCAAAGCATCTCCTAACGAGATTGCGCCATACGTGAATGAAGTCAAATGGTAGTTGAAGACATTTTGGAGTTCTAGTGTATATCAAGTGTTGCGTCAAAGAAATTGTGCCTCAAAATTTTTTTTTTGATCGGCTTGTGTGGCTTATTGTTGCAAGCAAATATGGATGGAGGTGTAGCCTTAGGGCATTTCGGAGTTAACAAAAACAAAAGAGGTGGTGCCTTCTCAATCTCTAGCTCAATTGGTCGCTCTTGAGGCCGCTAATTTTTCTAGATTCATCTTGTATATTGGTTTTTCCTAATCTATTAAAAAAAAAAAAAAAGAGAGAGAAAATTTGAGGTTTTTCGAAAGATTTTAAATAATCATCTTTGTCTTCTTATTTTAAAACCACTATATAAAGCTCTAAAATTTAAATAACCGATATGCATCTAACCCATACGATTTAAATGATCAATACCAAATATATTCGTTTTAAATCTAAATCTAACCTAAGTATTATTGGTTCAAGCCAAACCTCCCTCTCATCGCCATTCCTAACCTCTACTTCTTCTAGAATTTTTTTCTTTTATAAAAATTAAATTTTTTTTTTTTTTTTTTATCAAAACAAACATAGCGTAATTTCATCAAGCCAAACATTACATAACCATTTTTGTGTGGGATGGCAATGTGCCAAAGCACATGCACTTCTACATTTCTCTTTTCTA